TTTTTCTTGTGAGCAGGATAACTTTTGTATGTGTGGATTGAAGTTAATGAAATTTGATAGGCATGTTACTGTCGTAGTCTCCAAGATTGAGTTCAAAGATGAGAGTCGTGGAGGTCGTTATGTCCCCGTAATAGGACCTTTTGTGTTTAGAAATCCCCCACCTACATCTGCTTGGAGACAGCCGACAGCTGGATATAGCCAGGGAACCCCATGATGGGATGGGATCAAATGACGTTACATTGAGGGATTGTACTATAACTTCAGCAGGGGGAGGATAGGTTGGACATATGTCAGGTTATTTTCTACGGCCACACCAAGTAATTGCTATGGATGACGTCCACTGGAGACCTTAAATCTAATTACCTTAAATTTAAGGCAAGCGCACAATAAAAACACGAAGGGCCGAAAAACGAGATGCCTAGATTTGGAATATACTAACTGTAGAAATACAAATGTTAGGACACAAAGAACACAAGAAACAAGTCTTCTATTTGTCATAAAGACAAATTAACAAAACAGCAGTAGTCACCCTGTTCTGATTCTTTCCTTTATAACATCTTCTCTTATTATATTTTGCGGCGCTGTCGTGACACTTTCAACACAGAAAGAATTTCTTGAACGTTTTGTTTTCCAGTAACAGTCCAAACTCAAATAACGTAGGAGGGGGGGGGGGGCTAACACGGGTGACGACGCATCTGTATAATCTGCGGCAAACCGTTTCAGGGTGTTCTGTACCATAAAAATAGTACAGAGATTCTTTTGTTCTTTAGACCAAATTGATTATTAAAAAGAGTGAAGAATACGCATGTTAATTTCTCTAGAACGATGTACCTCTGACGAAGACATGAGATCTCCGACCTCTAGTTAGCCATAAAAATGTTTGTGGGCACGTGTAAATATGCTGCCTTTTTTCGAGTGTTATAGGAATTATTCGCGATGTTTTTGCACATCCCTAACGTTACCTCACGCCGGGCCCGCCGCCTATTATGCGTTAGTAACCGTTACGGCGGACCGGGGTATTTATAACAGTTACTTCAGATCATCTAGGATTGCATATTCGGTGGTAAAATAAGTAAACAAACAGAGAAAAACAGCAAAATAAAGTTGACAAACTATAGAAACGCTTGCATGGGCAACACTGACAAAAGAAAATGTCGATCTAATTGATGCGCCGGTTTTAAACGTTACTGTTATATAGTAAAATGCGGGCTAGATCAACGTTCCTTCCGCTGTTCCAGCGGTGTGTATCGGTAATTTCCCGCCCCGCATGAGGTAAATTAGTACTCCTCCCACGATTCCTGCGATGTTACCGCGCCTGCATATGAATGGAGAAGTCTGACGAAAAAGAAACGCGTTACTTTCGGAAAAGTAACGGAAAACTTTCGGAAAAGTAACCAGTTAATAACGGAAAACTAACGGGAAAAAAACGCGTTAGTAACGGCCGTTAGGGTAACTATAACGCGAACGGTACTGTAGGTTAGGTTAGGTTCTCCTAAAAACAGAAATACTTTGGGATAGACTAGAATACACAAAAGGGTGAGAATGCAACATATTTTGATGATAGATAAATGTGTATTCTGGCATACCTTTGTGTATTCCATGAAATATATAATTCCCACAGACAATTTCTATGGCTGGAAATATATTTTTCTGACATTATGAAGCAAGTTTAAGCTGTAATATCCAACACAACAAATTGGACTCACCCAAATTTTCAACTGTACAAGTCTTTGTCAAGGAATGAACAATCCACCGCTTCCGTGACGTCACGTAGATAACATAGTTTACGTGACTCCGTGATTTCTGCTACCTATGATCCACTGCTCTCGGAGTCACGTGTGTTATCTGCATGACGTCACAGAAGCGGTGGACTGCTCATTCCTTGACAAAGACTGGAGTTGTACAGTCGAAAATTTGGGTGAGTCCAATTTCTTGTGTTGGAAATTACAGTAAAAACTTGCTTCATAATGATTTCTACCAACACAGATGAACTTTCAAGACAAGATTTTTCTGACCTGTTTGTTATTTTCCCACAGCGCTGCAGTCAGAAGGAGGAAGCCACGTCCCCTCCCACCAGGAAAAGTCAGTGAAAATTCTAGCTACGTCAACAGACTTTTAAGATACGGACCGCCCTCGGTAGTGTTGCACACACCTCCCTTCATGTTGTTGGTTTGGTGTGAAAACTAACTCACTGCATGCCCTGTCCAACCTTACTTTAAAATGGAACGGTCTCACAATGGTTGCAAAGGGTGGATCCAACGGATCATTCTATTCAAAAGTGGGGGTGGCTAGGTTGATAAAAAAGTTTGTAAAAATGCTTACAAGTAGTGAGATTTAATCGTTTTCTATTTTATTTGAGTGTTCATTAAAAAATGTAATTTTGACCCAGTAGTTTTCCTTCAGTATCCATACCAGTATTAATATTTGCCCCCCTCCCCCATAAAATTGTGGATTTCATACACTGTACATGTAAATTTCTTTTACTAAGAATTGTTGCTCATAATGATACATTTTGTACAGAAGCTATTGCATTATTATATGTAATAATCAAGTTTCTGTTTTAGAAAATGTATTTTAAAACAATAGTATTTCTCTGGCACTCTGTTTACTGTAAATCTAATGAAATGTTCACAGTGGTTTTATTTCAAAATTTGCTGTTTTCGTTTTCTGTAGCTAGAGTAGCTAGAACGATCCTACCATACAAAACAATTAGCCGTTTTCCTTCATTAAATGTTTTCCTCAGAAATATCAGTATGCTATGAGATAGGATTGATTCAACTCACTACATTAAAAGAATGACCAGAAAATTGAAACTGCCCCGAAATTGTACTGGGCACTTTTAAAACAGTTTGTGCCTGTATAAATCGTTTAAGCGATCTACTAGGTTCTCCACTAGCTCACACAACTTCACCGTCCAAATTCCTTGTTCGAAATCTTTTTTACAGTGACAGTTTCTTTCCCCGTACGGCCAAGCTTTGGAATTCCCTCCCTGACAAGTGTTTCAACCAACCTACAATCTAGTACAGGCTTTCAATCAAACGTTCACCGCCATCTCTTGACATAGCCATGTTTCTCTCATATTTCTAGTTCAATGCCGAGAAGTGGTCGTATAGGCCTTGCATTGAACCACTCTGTTAAAAAAAATCTAACACTTTTGTGTTTCTTACGTCTACAGTATGCCAAGCCTAAGGAAGCCAAGAAGGAGGAGAATTCTGTGTTCCACCACAAACCTGCGAAGGTGAAGCGATCCCCCAAGAGTAACAACACCAGTGTCCTCAACAGTGGTACGTCAAAAACTACACCCCCGTAAACACAACTAAACTACTAGAAATCAACACATGGCAATATGTACTAGTATTTGTATGCATTTTGGCATCAGTAGGCTACCATACTCTTGTTAAAGTTACTGTAGTTATGTAGATTGAGGTTCAAATCTTCTCTTGTTTTGTTAACATTTGAGCAGTAAAGTTTGTTACTGTTACCGACAGGATTTTGCAGAAAGAAGTTTAGAAGTGCTCATTAATGTATGTAACACTGTCTTATGGTGATGGAAACTTTAATTACCTCCATGTATGGAGGCTTTGTTTTTGTTTCTTAGTATGTCCATGGTTATTTGAATACAGTAGAGTCACAGGAAGCGTGGGGAAATGGTATAACCGCAGACTGACAGGAAGGTCAAGTTGGAGGTCAAAATGGTTTCCCGTTTGGAAGAAAGTGACAGACTGAGGAATATGCATGAACTCTACATACTTCTCATAGTAGGTATTTTTTTTTTGGTTTAGAAGAACACTTTGGTCCACTCAGTGACAAAGTTGTTCCTTTTTTTCTGTAGAACACAGTGGATCCGGAGGTCCATTCCACGCAAGGGGTCAGCGTGAAGAGACGAAAGACGCAGGTACTGTCGGGGAAAACGAAGACACAAAAGTGGAGCTTCCCATTGACCAGGTCAGCATCAAACAATTTGTCTAGAAAGATGGTAATGTTAGTGGAATTGCAGTACTATGAAAGCAGAAAAAATTTTAAATTTTTTCCATCATGATGGCATTTCAGTACCATGAAATTGAAAATTATTTTTGGATTCTAGGATTTCAGTGCCATGAAAACAGAAAAATTGTTCATGATGGCATTTCAGCACCATGAAAATGAAAAAAAATTGTTCTTGATAGCATTTCAGTACCATTGAAATGAAAATTTATTTTTGGATTCTAGGATGTCAGTACCATGAAAACAGAAAAATTGTTCATGATGGCATTTCAGCACCATGAAAATGGAAAAATTGTTGTAGATGGCATTTCAGTACCATGAAAATGGAAAAATTGTTGTAGATGGCATTTCAGTACCATGAAGATGAAAAACTATTTTTGGATTCTAGGATTTCAGTACCATGAAAACAGAGAAATTGTTCATGATGGCATTTCAGCACCATGAAAATGGAAAAATTGTTCTTGGTGTCATTTCAGTACCAAGGAAAGGGACATCTTGCTTTTATTACCATTTAAGTTCTGTGAAAAGAACACCATACCTCCTCGTGGCATTTCAGTACCAAGGAAAGGGAAAATAATTTTTCAGTACCATGTTACTACGGATACATTATGATTGATAGAAGCTTTATTGATGCCATAAGTAAAAGAAGATAAACTAGAAAAGTAACCTTTGCAAAGCAAATACATAATGTTTTCCTGTCTGCTCTGTAAATTCTTACTCAGTCAAACACATTCGCATATATGGTGACAGGAGTCTAAATCCCTCCTGCTATAAAATTGCAACATGATGTAATCCAACACTAGTTACCATGGTGACAGATGTCTGGTTCAGGTCATTGACCTTATCGGTTTGGAGAGGAAAAACAATATGTTTTCTTTCTGCGAAGGTAAACATAATAAACTGTTGTTGGGCTTTTGTAGGTTGAAGCTGATGAGGTGGAGGAGGAAGAAATCAACACAGGTCAGGACACGGAGGTCAAACTGTCAGAGAGCGGCAGACAAACGTACAGCAAGGACGAGGGGCCGCGTACGTCTCCTGGGAACAAGGTACGCACGCAGAACTGTCTGGAACATGCACTCATTCATTCATTCATTTATTTACTCATTCATTTATTCATCCATTCATTCACTCAGCCATACATTCATTCATTCATAAACTTATCCATACATTCATTCATTCACTCATCCATTCATTCATTGGCTCATTCACTCATCCATTCATTCATTCATTCACTCACTCACTCATTCATCCATCCATTCATTCATTCATTCATTCATTCATTCACGTAATCAAGAGCAAAAGATCTCCATTAGGACTATTCCACTTGAATCATTTGGGAGGGATGTTTGGAAGTTTGTTTTCACTCAATTTATTATTTTGGCCCTCCTGTTAAAAAGTTTTTCTCCCTCCTTAAACTTTGAAATGGAATAGCCCTATCCTGAGATTGAATTTGTCAGTATTCTTTAGAATTATTTTGTAGTCAATTTTTTGTCTTCAAGTCATCTTCCTTCATGATTTTCATTCATAATCACACTTATTCATCTAACATGATTTTAACTCCTCTCTGTTTTCATATTTCCTCCTTCTGATATGATTTGTTGCAAAGTTTGTGGAAAGTTGATTTTCCGTGAATTTCTGATGGAATTCCCCCCCGTCTCTCCTACTAGGGGCAACCCTCCGAAGGCAGTAACTAGGGAGCTACGGAATGAAAAAGAAGTCAGGAATGGTCCTCAAGACAGAGACAGAACAGAGAAGGACATAGACATTACAGACATGAGGGGGAGGGGGGCAAACCGATAAAATAGTCGTCACGTGACTATAACATCCTTTCTTTTCCTACTACAATCGTCTTTCCTCCTCATACAACCTTCTGAATAACTTGGATATCCTCCCCAAACAGTATAGGTAAAAGAGGCATCTGATACTACTTGATATTTTGAGTATACACAGTTAAGATGCTTTGTTAGGAATTTAAACATCATTTTGATGCTTGTTTACAACATCTGTGCAATCACGACGTAACGTTTTTTGGTATAATTTTTTCTCTGGATGTTTTTGTCACGTGATGTAACTTTCAGACTCAGACTAGTACAACTTAGGAAAGAAACTAAGTAGTATACAAAAAAGCCTCAGAACTGGTGCCTACCAACTGTAAATTTTACAAAATCTGGGGGTCTTTCCTGTTTGCCACTCTGAAGGGAGATAGAAACTCAAAGGAAAGATTTGTACATACTTCTATGTGTTGGTCAGAATCCTCTATTTATTTGTATATAGTAGAAGTTATATGTATATAGAGGCTTGGAGAATGACCAGTTATTTGAGTGGCCATCCAAAGTGAAAGAACCCTACAATATTACCAAAGAGTTGCTAAACTTGGTCTTTTTTTTTTCATTTTCAAAGAGTGAAATCATTTCAGATATATTTTATATAGTGTGATCTTTTCACAATTTCACACATGCACCAAGTTACTTTGAGCTAATATGTTATCCACGTATTATATCTATGATTTTATAAACACTCAAAGCACCGCATGATTTTTATATGATTGTGGTCACTTGAAAATGCACCTTTGATTTTGGTATAAGCACAAGTCATGTGTCAAGTCACTGTTTTTTGTGCCAAAACATTTTGAGAATCACAACTACCTTACTTTGTTGTGCACATTTTGGAATAAAACAGTTGAATAACACACCACTGCACCCGTGTATGTTTTCTTCTTCATAAGGCCACACCAATTTAATTTCTTGATAATGGATTCACCCACTTCATTTTTTTCTGATTTGCAAAAAAAATAAAAATTCAGAATCAACTGCAAAATGCTCAGATTTTGCCCTGAACAGTTGAAAACAGTCCTTTTCTTGCTAGTTGTTACAATTATTCCATCTTTCAATGCAGTGGTATCATTAAAAGTTCAAAATTCATTGTTTAAATTTTGAACCAGCCTGGTGTGTTGACTTCATGGCTCCTATCGTACCATTTTGGGCCATAATAGGATGCCTAGGCCTGTTTTTACTTTCATTTTTTTCGCCCGCCCGCTCCATTATTTTTCTAGAAAAATCCGTTAACCAAAAAAATTAAATTGGTGTGGCCTAAAAGAATTTTTGTCAAAAGGGTTACAATGATTATCCTCCAGAACAATGCAGTATAGTGACATCAGTTTGACAAATAAATCTACACACAAATAATCAAAATTGTCTGAAGGACATCAAAACGTTAACGACAGCTAAAATGTGTGACAAGACAAACACAAAAATGAAGTTAGTATGCCAGATAATTCTCCCTTAGTTTAAATGTCCATGTCAGCAATTTATTCAAGAATTTCAGGTTGACTTCTTAGTTATAGACAACCTGTAATGGCAGACCATTGGTTGTCCCCAGTGTCTTGGTTGTCCCCAAGTTTGGTTTTCCCGTTTGCTGCCCACATCCCTTCAAGTCTCTCCTCTTCTTACTCCTTTAGTTTTTATCGGTTTACTTCTTTCACCCACTAACCATTTCCTTCACTTAAAAACAAAAACACAAACTTTCGTCTTCTTTTGGCTTCAGACACTTTTTTGCTCAACTCTGCCTGTGGATTTCTTTTTAAAATTCCTGTCAAATTTTGGAGGAAAAATTGAAGTGTAACGCAAAGATTGGCATGTCGTGTTTTGCAGCCTGAGGAAATAGTGGAGGAGTCACCGAGTGGGGAGAGAAATGCCAGTCGACGCTCCCACCCCAGTTCCCCACCCCCCAGTAAACCCAACTCCCCACCCCCCAGTAAACCCAACTCCCCACCCCTCAGTAAACCCAACACCCCACCCAGGGGGAAATCCTCCACCCCACCCCCCGATAACCCCAACTCCCCACCCCCTAACAACCGTAC